CCATCATCATTGGTTATAAGAGGCGAGGTGAAGATGAAGCCCTCATTCGAATTGACGCCGTGGAAGACTTCTACGGAAGAGTCGAACTTGCCCTCGTCAAGGAGTCTTCCGGCCAGGTCAGGGACAAAGTCACCGTCAACTGCGGGGCCCCATCCAAAGTTGCCCCAGTGGGCTGTTGCGATGGTGATCTCGTTGGCCTTCCACAGAACATCGAATGGAACTTCCAACAATTCGGCAAGGGTGGTGACGTTGATCCCGCTGAAATACGAAGACCATCGTAGGACACTGTCGAACCGAGAATCTTGCTTACTGGTGCTAGGAAGTGGCTCAAAACCAGGGGACTGCGGAATGGCTCGTCTGAAAGGCGCACCACTCGTGGCCCCGTATGCCGTGATCTGGTGCATGACGGAACCTCCCCCAGCCGATTCGCCATAGGCGGTTACTTGTCCAGGGTCTCCACCAAATAGGTGAATATGCTTCTGCACCCATTCGAGTGCTGCGCGCTGGTCTCGAAGCCCAAGGTTGGAGACACCACCCTGTTCCTGGTATGAAGGACCGGATGACCACCCGAAGAGGCCGAGGCGGTAGTTGATGCTGACATGAATCACGCCGTCCGAGCCGTCCTCTTGAGACCTTTTGATGAGACCTGCAGGATTTCCGGCATCGTTCTTGTGACCAACCGTGTATCCGCCCCCGACAATCCAGACCACGACCGGAGCTATTTCAACACGTCAGCTTCCAGGTTCGGGAATGGCCAGAGCATAGCTTACCGCCGGCCCCTTCTTGGCCACTAAGAGTTCTTTGCCACATACTCTTCGGAATTGTCACGTCAAGCAAGAGGCAGTCTTCGGTCGTCGTCGCCCCGAGATCGGTGATAAATTTCTCAGGATCCGATGAGACGTTTTCGGGGTCCATCTTACGGAGCTCTGCGTACGCAATGCGGAGCTCCTCGAGTGACAGAGAGCCAGCGCCGTACTGGGCTGAGAGTCCAAACCACGCAGGAAGAGCGGCGGCACATTGCGTCGACGGAGCCATTGTTTATGCGGCGGTCAGTGACGGTGACCTCTTGCGGCCCTTTAAATCGTGGCGCTTCGGCGTATTTGATGTTGGAGAAGGTAAAGAGTCTGGTGATGTTCTGCGCAAACAGAAGATGATGTTAGTACAATTAATGATTTCACAGCACCAGGACATATGGCTGGTCCGTTTAGGCTTGCACTCACGTTGTAAGTTGCCTGGTGCCGACTGTAGGCGAGATCGACCACGGGAGCATGTGTCGCGCAATCTGTAGGAAAGGATGAAGCGACGGACGCGAGAAGTAAAAGCCAAGTGTTTCTCCCCATTCTGAGAGCTGCCGGATCAGACTGTTATTTGCTTCTTGAGAATACTGATGACATTTGAGCACCATAAGGGTGCAGGCGTAGGCTCAACTTATACTCGCCCTGGGCCGTAGCGATGCTATGCGCTCAGTTGACGATGAACCCCTGCTACGAGAAACATTGAATGATTGCATACGTGATGTGAAAATGCAGTATACAAGATAGAGAACGTATAACCCCCTGAGATGATATGCGATGATTCATGCATTAGCGCTGCCAAGCTCTGCAAGTCGGTCACCCATCAGTGGCTCACATCAGCCTTCTAGCTGACGAGCTGATTCCTCTCCGGAGACTCTTATCAGGCATTGCAATAACGAGTATTCAATTGGACATAGATGCCGCGTGGCGCGTTCAATATGCATTGTGAGTATTTCGAATGAGGTCCTGGCACTTCCACACCGTGGTTTCAACTTTGATTGTTGCGAGGTAAAAGTTCAAGCGACTGTCAACACTGAGAGGAAATAAAGTAGAACAGAAGAACAAAAAAAAGAAGAAAAGAAGAGGAATGAGAGTTGTGAAGAGGCGCAAAATTGCTAAAGAAACTCTGCCAACTGAAATTGTTCGAATAGGAATGGAGTAGCCTCAGCCCACCCTCAAAGCCTTACGAAAGACCAGCGCGAATGTTGTCGTACTTACTGTCAGGGTAGCTCAGCATGTTGTTGACCGACTCTTGTCCGTCTGCTCCTCCCAGCGACTGGAAACTCGCGGAAATCAAACTACCTTCACCGACCCTGTCACCGCTTGCCTCCCAAAACATCGAGCCGCCAAGTCCCTTTTGCTTCAGGTACGACACTTTGTTCTTGATGACGTCGACAGTGTCGTACGAGATGAGCTTTCGGCTCTTGTTGTCGTAGCTGTATGAAGCCTGAGCGACGTCGTCGTAGAGCTCAGTGGCTCCCGGCCGGGGAAGGTCTTTGTAGTCCCAGACGCCGTTCTCCCAAGACCCTTGTCCGATGCCGGAGAAGGGGCGGCCGAGGCCATCAGTATTCTCGAAAGCCCTGCCATATATTGGCATCCCCATGACTATCTTTGAGCTTGGAACGCCTGCCGCGAGATAGTCTGTCAGCGCGGCGTTGGTGGAGAACGGAGTCGCAGCGGGGTTGCCTGGGTTCGGGTAGAGATTGGCCCGGTGTCCAGCATTAGAATCCCAGGACCCGGCATAGTCATAGGCCATGAGATAAATCTTGTCAACCACGGCTGAAATGCTTCGAAGGTCCAGAATCTTGTAGTGCTGGGGCCCAGCTGGGGCAGCGATCGTCAATAGAAAGCGGTAACCAGGGGCGTGTTTAGCAGCATAGGCGTCAAGCTCGTCTCGTACGGTTTGAAGCAGCAGGATGAAGTTTGCAGCCTGAGTGGCATCGGCGGGATACTCCCAGTCAATATCGATACCGTCAAAGCCCCAGTCCTTCATGAATGTGACCGATGACTTGGCGAAAAGTTTCCTTCCTGACTCGGTGCTCGCTGCCGCCGGGAAATGGGTAGACCAAGTCCAACCCCCAATACTTAGCAGAGTTTTCATGCGGCGGTTTGACTTCTTGAGAATAAACAGTTGCTTGACACAACCGTATGCGTTGGTGCCGATATCGTTCCAAGCTAAGGATGCCATATTAGAGAGACAAATTCTCCTGGCGCTTGAAAAGAACTACTCACAGTCGGTTGGGTATCTTTTTTCCAGATCCGAGTATGCGTCCCCGGAAATCCTGGGCAGGCGTGAGTACATGATAAATACAGAACAGCATGCAGCGCTTACACCTCTCCTGAGGCGCGGAGATTCAAGAATGCGTAGAGAACCTGCGTGACCTGCGAAGCCGGCAGATTCTGAGGCTGGTAGTTCCGTCCGTATATCGCCCTGATCCCGTGCTTAGTTTTGCCGCAACAATTGTCCAATGGGCTCAAGCGGAATGCATACCAGTTAGGAAAATACACAGCATTTTGATAGCCGTTCGCAGCCCTCGAAGTTAAAGCAGCAACTGGTGAAGCTTCGGCAATGGCAGCTGTAAGCGCCAGACTTACAAGAGAACGAAGGAAGAACATGATGTAAGTTGCAAGTGTTTGATTCAGCAAGGGCGGTAAACCGTCTGGAGAGATCGAAAGCTACTTTGATGTTTCAGTGATATACATTGGACTCAGGCAATCTGGAGCTTTAAGTATTCTCCCATAGAAGCAGTGTGAGGTCTGATCCTCAAACTAGATCAAAATCGCAATGGACCCAAGTAGATTGCCACACGCCAAGACACATACGAACAGAGAAACGTTACGGTGTCGAATAATCTTTTTTCCAGGCTCAGAGTAGTATGAAAGGCGAGAAGTCTGATGAGGTTCAATCAACCCGGCGAGACGTTCCATAGCCGTGACATGTGCCAGTCTGCATATGATCAATTGCCCTGCCGAAGTCGATCTTTCCTCCATTGGACAGGTCACATCTTGTTATGGTTTATGACCTTGAGTAAGAGGCGCGGAGCTAATGCAGGTGTTCGACAGCGAGTTGCACGCAAATCCCACGGGCTCCCATGCATGGGACCAGGTTTCACATATTCATCACATCACTCGGTATTGAGCGCTGTCATCGCTGAAGCACGGGGTCTGGCAACCCTTCGTGAGAGGAGACACCGAAACACTGCCGAATACCACCTTTCGAAGCGCTTAGGAGATACTCCACGTGAAGTCTAGGCTTTGACGAAGACCCCTCGGAAATCGGGAATCGTTCAGTGTGGTTGTTTCTTCTGAACAGACTAGCATTTTGCGAGTCTTGGTTGGTCACACTCATGTGCTATCATGGGGAAGTTCGGGGCCTGGCCATCCGTCCGTATTGGGAAGGTCGATTGTCTGAAGAGCCAACCAAAACGCCATGCGACTGCAGAAAATGCAGCCATATCTCGCTTGCCATGGTTCGTCGGCAATTTAAGCGGTAAGGTCGCATCATGAATGTCTTTGCGAGCGCACGGAATTGGTTCTTGGTGGCTTGATGGCCGGATTTGCCCACCAACGAAGAAGACATGGCCAACGTGCAACGTTGTAGGAGGTGCATCGCATTTCTGATGCGCACATTGACTAGAAATGGTTGATTCGTGTGCTAGGGACAAAAGATAATCCTGGCTGAGGGGCGACTGAGGCAGAACTGGGCACTCGCCCCTTGCATGCGACAGTGACACGTGCCCTGCCCGGGGCGAGGAAGCGCCTGCGACAGACACAACCTTGCCAGTCCCGTCGAGGACCTCTATTCGCGTCTGAACATGCACAAAGCTGTCTAAATGGATGAGCATTTACCCCTCCTAGTCTGCCTCAACCTCACAGTGGGTTAAACGTCTGGTTGTACCTCAGAATATTTGACTAAGACGTCTCAACCCTGGCATTGAGGTTGCGGGGAGCTTGCTTACTGACGCTGGTAGACTCTACGTGGTATGTGGTTTCGAGAGGTGACGTTGCAATCAGACACGTCCTATCCTTGAGTAGATTATCTCTTACTTCTTCTTTCATCTTCTCGTTGTTTCGCGTGAGAGTATTTTGAATGCGCCTCAAGAGAGATGTAGCCTGTTTGACCCTGGACACCAGCATCCCAGGGAGAGATTCCGCAAAGAGGCTCGGCCATTGTACTGTGCTTGTACTTTTCATTAATATGCCTGGAGGAACAAGTCCAGCAGATTGATGTAGTGGGAGACCATGTTTCCAAACGTACTGTACTAACGCTGGTGTTGAGCTGCTTCTTGTTAGCCCGCTTAGTGTGAAGTAGCTCTGCTGAATGACTGGAGCTGGGTTTGCTGCTCATGATCGGGTAAACTATGAGCTGCCTGTAGTTTCGCTGGCAGCTAGAATGCTTGTGTTATTGACATTATCTCGCTAATATTATCCTCATGAATATATCTGTCTAAGGTGCTTCTAGTAGGTAGGTGACTGGTGCCGGAGCCTCTACTTTTTCCTCTCTGGTTACGTCGTCGTCCATGATATGTGGATCTCAGAGAAGAGGGGCAGTTTTCCGACGCAGTAGCTAGGGGATTAAGAAAAGTGCTTATTCAAAGTGACTGTTGAGTGCTTTGTATATTACTTCCCAGACATCGTTGGGTCGAAGTACGGTAGAATGGCAAAGTAAAACTGAGAAACAGGTCGTAAGAGGATATTTAGTTGCTTGTCAGAGGAGACGGATGAGAAGCGGTTAGAGAAGAAACACGGCCGTGCTTCCGCCCTTCATCAGCCACGCCCTGTCTATCTCAGCCACGCATGCCACTACCCTGCCTGGCATCACCGTGTCATATACCTTGTATAGGTACCCAGGTCAGATATCTTGCGTTGTGTATGTACCACGAACCTGTAGCACTGAATGGTTAACCCTTCCTGACGTTATCGAACGTGATTTTCTCGAGATAAGAAGAAGGTAGGCGAGGATGTCAATTATCTCATCAGGTGTTTTCACGAGGCAGGGTATCAACCCAAGCCCTTGGCGGCATCTGGTTCAATATTTTTCTCGTTGGCCCCTCATGAGACACATCATCAAATCAATCCTAGATTACAATCTACCTCTGCCAAACACGATGGATGCAACAGGTCTTCTTATTGTCTCCATGGCCTCGTAGGCGACTTTCAGGACGCCACTGATCTATTCGTTCTCGTCATATTCCGTCGAGATTTTGGCAGAAATAAGGTCATTCAGCTCATCAAGGTTAACCTCGAGAAGATCATTTTACTTCATTGGCTAGAGCAAGTTGGAATACTCGAAATAAATTTGTAATGAGTTCGACAAGCTCAATATCGACAAGAACGAGATTCAGACTTCGATCGATGACATCGTCTCATGAATCCAGATATCATTTATCCAGATACTGCTTGGCATAGTCACCCAGGCGAAGGAATAATTTGGGTTTCACGATTCTACAGCGTCAGCTCGAACCGCTTACTGGACATCCGCGAGGAAGCCAAGTTGCGATAATCAGTAGACCTTGCATGGAAATTGAACGGCATTTCAAACAGCTCAAGATCAGCATCACGGGCTTGGACTCATCCGCCTCCATGCTTGAAAGCGCGATGGGCAGTTCAAGGCGAGGCTCCACCAAGTGAATCCGTGTCGGCATCTGTCAATTTCACGGCTAAGTTGAGGGAGATTGTCTGTCACCCTTCCAGCAACCTTTCAAGCCGCACCGCAAAAATGAGAAATCCTAGCTCATATGCATCATCTCTGCTAGGCCTGACCACCTTGCCCACCTGACGAGCGTTGGGGTGCTGCGCAAGAGCCCTACGTACGTGAGCACCAGAACCGCATAACCCTTGCTGACAAGAGCGAAATCAAAGGCTTCCCTCGCGGCGCGTAGATTTCTGGGAAGATAGACAAGGCGGGAAATGCAGACAAACCACTTGAATCTGGGGGGGGAGGAAGATGCTGAATTGTGTGCTCATACAGCCTGAGATACCGGTGATCCGGTGATGAAGCATGTTAGTGTACTGGGTTTGCGCTATTTCTATGACCTGTGAGACGTCTAACTCGCGGATGGATGTAGTTATTGTAACCTCGGTGAGACCATTTGGAACGAGTGCAACACATTCGGGAGGAGCTGCAGCGAAGACATTATGTGAGGTCAAACGAATGCGGCCAGATAAGGTCAGCTTCTTTGGGGCTGTTTCCAGGCGACGAAACAGCCAGCGACGTTGGAATGAATGGTGGATCAGTAGACGAAGGCTCCGAGGTGTTATCGCCTGAAACTTTGGAGATGTTACCGTGCTTGGTAGAGAGCCTGGTCTAACCATGGTCAGACTGCATGGATGCCGTAAACATCCAGGAGACCGCTCCCTGGTCAGCCAGCTACCTTATGGGAGGCGGCTTATGGGAGGCGGCACTTCATTGGTGGAATCTGGTACCCAGGCTGTACTAATAATATCTCTCTTCCGGGCGGCGGCTCACGCTTTTTCGACTTAGAGAAAGACATGCAACACCGGGAATTCGGCCGGTAGTTTACTCACTCAATAATCAGTCAGGCTTAAAAGGACCGTTATTGGGAGTTCTGATTACCCCTTTTGGCTTGCAGGGCTGGGACCCACACACAGCCTGTCGTGCATGTTGACCACTTATCTGGCAGAGCAAGGTCAGCAGATCTCCGGAGTCCGAACACGAACCCCATACCAGGCCATCAACCAGCGTCAATGCCATACTTAAACCTTCGCTCAGGGGTCGCGACCCCTCTGTCGCATTCAAACTTTGGCCGTGCACTACGAGGTACGTGGTACAACCACCCTACTGGAAAGTCTCCGAGTACCTTGTTCGGTCCACGATTTTGGCTTTTTCTATGCTCAATACAATCTTTGTAACGGCTATGACGGCTGGGCCGGGCCGCTTCGCTGCAACATAGCTCGAGGGATAATCCGAGCAGAAAATCCTGTCGTCTCTGACGCTCGGCTCCTTGCATATGCCTCGATAAGCGCGAAAGCAGCAGTCAGGCCATTGACACAGTGTCAACGACAAACACAAGCAGTAACGACGAGCCTCAGCAACAAGCCAATAATCACGAGGCCAACGATAGCTACAGCACGCGAATGACCTAAAAAGATGCGAACTTGGCAGACAGCCGTGCACATTTATCCCACTTCGCAATGCCCCCTCTTGGCTACTTGTTAACTAGCAGCCTTCCATACCATTGACGATGCGCTGGCACCATCTCGGCCGGCGGTCACTTGCAACGATAATACTTACCATATAGAGCCGGCCAGGACGGATAACGATTAGCAGAGGTTCCTTCCGTGTCAGCTACTTTCTGCCTGCATGGATGTATCTGTCATAACCTGGCGATACTCACGTGGAATGCAGGTATGGAGGGATTGTACATGGTGTATCAACCTATGACCAATGGGTAGCGCCGCATTAGCAAGTGGTGGAAGTGCATCACGTCTCTGCGTCGTTCGATTGTTAGCCATGGTGGGATTTTGGATCGCAAGGTTCGACCGACGAGATACTACGTGTCACTGCAAGCGGATCTCGCATGGTGTTGTTTCCAATTATACTTTGCAAGTCTGTGATTTGCCAGACAAGAAAATCGACTCGGCAGCCTTGCGACCCATTGCAAGGATAATTAGAATTGCCATTAAGGAGGTGGGTTCGGCAGCTAGTGATGGACGCTCAGCTGCAAAGCATATTGTCTGCAGCGTTTAATGAGGGGCCGATAATACTTTGCGTGATCAATAAAAGGGAGGACTTGTAAGGTCTTACGGCAAAGGCTTAAACTTTGTGGAGATTCTTTCGAGAATGGTACAGCCTCTCTGCCTATCAGAAATTGCCCTTCCTTGAATCTGGCTATACCATCGTAGCGTGCTAGTTTCAATATGGAACAGAAGAAACAGCGTAGAATCGCCCTCTTTAATAGCTTCATGAGCTTCAAAGCGACGGGGTCTTACGAGCGTAATCATCTATTCATTGCTTTCCGAGAACCGTACGTTTCTTCCTCATCTTTATCTTCGTGTTGTGTTAGACAGGGCCGTGCAATAGACATTGGGTTATCCTTGATGCCTGCCTGATATGTCCATTAGAACCTTGTTGTCGTTGAACGTCATCGAAACTCCTTGGTACGGACTGTACGGCTCACTGCCGAACGGATGATTCCAGATGTTGGCTTGTTAAGCTAAACTTAATTACCTAGGCTAGTGAAATGTGAAACTCTCCTATCGCCATTTGCCTCGAAGGCGTCCGGGATCACGGTGGTTGATGGTGAGACGGCACGAAGGTCGCGACAGGACCAGAAAGAAAAAGTATTAATGCAGCCTCATCACCGCTGCCAAACACGACTTAGAGATCATCCTTCTCGCATCATCGATTCGATCCCAGGTTCTTTCACTCATACCAGGCTTCCGAATCATATCTCTTGTCGACTCCAACATGCGTGTCGCCTTCGTCTTGGCCGCTTTTGCGGTGCCCATCTACGCCCATCCCAGCATGTCCAATTTGCTGAACGAGCTTATGGCCCGCGATGTTGACGATTCACCCCTTGATAACGACGATGTCTTGTCGAGCTTGAATGGAGCTTCCGACTCGTCTCTAACACCCGTTGGCAGAGACCTCAAGAAAATTCTGGTCGGCAAAGGCATAGCGCAGGACCCTCACAGTAGCGGACTGACTACTGAAAAGTACACCAGCGTTCCCAAACTGGACTCGGACAAGTGCAACAAAGACACCTGCTGCGTCTGGAGCTACATCGGCCAAGATTTGAAGGAGCTCTTTACCAACCCCGACAATTCTTGCAATCGCTTTGCCCGTCAGATCATTCGTCTGGCCTTCCATGATTGCATTCCCCATGCAGGCCGCAACAAAGGTGGCTGTGATGCCTCTATCGTCAACTCGAAGGAAGAGAATGGACGCCTCGAGAATCAGGGCATACAGGAGATCACGAGCAAGCTGAAAGAGGTGTACGCCAAGTACGACGACAAAGGTATCAGCATGGCCGATTTGATTCAGTTTGGCGCTTCCGTCGCAGTCCACACGTGCCCCGGCGGCCCACGCTACAGGGTCTTCATGGGACGCAAGGATACGACAGACGCGAACCCGGCAGGCCTCGTGCCCTCGCCCACCGACACCGCAGACGTCATCCTCAGGAAGTTCCGCGAGAAGTCTTTCCTCCCACGCAATGTCATTGCCCTCCTCGGCGCCCACACCGTCAGTCAGCAGTTTTTTATCAACACCGGGCTTGCCGGCCAGGCACAGGACACCACGCCTACCAAGTGGGACCAGAACTATTTCGCGCAGACTCTGGACTCGAGCAAGGCGAAGAGCCCCATCTTCACATTCCAAAGCGACATTAACCTAGCCAAGGACAGCGACAGCAAGTCTTGGTTCGAGTTGTTCCTTAAGGACAAGGATCGCTGGGACAACGTGAGTCCTGAGCCTTCTGCTCTTCCAATTTGTACCTAATACTGACATCCCGGGATAGGAATATGCCTACGCCGTTATCCGCCTTAGCCTGCTTAACATATACAACCTTAACGACCTGACGGAATGCAGCAAGGCGCTGCCTTGAAGGCATATAGATTAAGAGGCTAGCTTAGCACTTTTCTTTTCTTACCTTTTTATCCTTCACCCAAGACGTATTTGTAGTCCGCAGGACTATGGTACGGTATTTCAAAGGTAGAGAGTACCAAATATAAGCTATTGCCCGACTTGAATGTGCCCCTGAACCTTATATGGCGGGCGAACGTGCGGCCTGAGCGGTCTTCCTGATGTTTTCGCCGCTTGATTTTACTGCGTTTGGTCAGGCTCACTTGGTATAAGGCTCTATGGGGCAAGGTTCACCTGCCCAGTCAGATAGACGGGCCTTTTTCCGTGTTTGAGGCCGAAGATGCTGAGAGACACGCTGTGGCTCTGAAGGGTAACAGCCAAGGTAGAGCAGTAGGGAATCGAGTTCGGTGAAGTGGGTCAGCTGGCTAGAGCACGCTTCGGGCCGGGGAGTAAGCCCAGGATGTCCGAGGCAGCCGGATGGACGACCCGAGCGTAGAAGGCCTTCGGCGGGCGGGAAACAGGATGTGGCGCCGCTATGGGAGGGGGGAGGCTGCTGCTGCTGCTGCTACCGCCTCTGTTGTGACACGGAGAGTGCTTTGAGAGCGGGAGCGAGATAGAGCGTCATCTCTACCATGATTCGGTCTCGCGACTCAACCGTATCACACCTGCAGCGGCGCCGAGACAGCGGTATGAGACCGCACCGTGTTCGAATTTCTGGTCGCTTCTGTTCAGCAGAACATATGAGGCGACGACTACGCGAGGCCGTCACTCTGGCTTCTTTGCGACACTTGAAATCGCAACGCGTCCGCTGCGTTCAGCGCGTCCGCCGCGGTCCACTGGACACCGAGAGACGGACTGGTGGGCCGGGCGGAGCATTGTGTAGCCCCACCGGCTGCCGGCGAGTTGGTGCAAAGCACGAGTTTGAGACTGCTAGGTTTGGATTAGAGATCATGGGGCTTGAGGCGGGCGAGTCGCTCATCTGTGGCCGCTTATGTGGCGCATGAGAGTCAGCATTGATTGATGCGGCACGGTGCGGACCCGTTCACAGGCTGCTTTCTAACTTCAGTGAATTGAGGAGACTGGTGCCCCAACTGCTGCGTAGCTCGCCGTATTGCGCATGATGGCACCGTGTGTCTGCCTGTCGTGACTGATGGTGTTATCAACCAGCTGCTCGTGCGTTGCTGCCGAGTTCCTAGTAAGAATGATGTATTGCCGTGGCAGCGCGTCCAGCATTCTGGCCATAGCTGCAGATCCGGTCGCAAATGGTTTCGCTTATCCCGTGTACTCGACAAGGCCCTTGACGCAAACTGAGCAGTGCGTGGCCGGAGAACTCTGCTCCTGTAGACTCTTCGCACCTGATTGACGTACTTGTGACGGTGACGGTATAATCTACCACCCCGTCACTATCGAAGGCCACTCCGCTCTCGGTTTTAAATAGCTAGCCGTCTTCGGTGTTGCTAGGATGGGGACTTGAATGGGTGAATGGCCTCCAGCTCGTAGATTGGTGCTCCCTGATGTAACCTGGCGTGTCGCTTTCGTTCGCCGTCTCTCTATGCCCTGAGAGGACATCTAACTCTCGAGTAAGTATATTCACATGGACTTGGACGTAGCCAGTATAATGTTGATCGCAATTGTAGTTGTGTTGGTGACGGCACGCTTCAATTAGGTTGACAGTGGTACATGAAAGGGTTTGGGTCAAAGGCTGATACTATGCGTGTCGAACCGCGGTTTTGACCACGCCATCTGGCATTTCGCCCTTGCCATTGACATCCCACCAAAATTAAAAGTCGCCTGGCAAATGACAAGCAGCCGGAATCCCAAGCAGGCTTGTTGAAATATAGATTCCGAGGAATGCCTGCAGGCCATAGGTGATTGGAAAGCCGTTGCTGCATCTGCCACAACATAAAGCATGGGACATCCGACGCTGCCGGAAGTTGCTACCAGGCGGCATGCTCACAGCCATATAACGAAACCACATTGTATGCGGCCATGGAAGCAGAGAGCCGCTTTCAAACATCCATAATCTCACAAGGCAGCCCCTGTTTCTGTCTTCCCTCAGTCCACGGCAGCCACGATGAAAATTGGCCATCAGTGAGCTCAGCGATGCGATGGAGCAGGTGATCTTCCCAGCCCTCAAGGAACCAGAACGGCTTCGTCCTGAGGAGTATGGCAAAGTGTGCCATGATGAGGAGCGCCACTGAATCCTTCCGCTGCAGACAGGCCTGAAAGCTGTCTTCCATGCGGTACAGCCAGCCGAAGATGATCTTGTTGGACTTGTCGCCGTCGTAGGTGTCGTTGCCACGTCCGTAGGTGGCGTCGTAGACGACCTCAAGACCGTCCACGGCCTGATCGTACACGGAAATGTTGGGGCTGTCGAGCGAGCCGATCAACTCACGCAGCTCCTCAAAGGGGCCGACCCAGTCGATGCGTGGAAAGCCGTGGCATAAGTACGTCGGCCGCGGGTCGACGGAGAAGTGGGTCGCAGGGCCAAAGGGCTCCATGAGGCCAGAAAAGAGGGAGTCGTGTCGATACGACTCCCGCAGGAGCCGGGTACCGGAGATGAGGGCAGGCCGGTGCTGAGATGTGTCGTCGCCGACGCTGCAGACGAAGAGATCGTTGGGACTCGAGGGGCCGGCGGCATAGCTGCAGTAGCTGACAAGGAGCGAGGCCAGGTAGACGGCGCCGCAGTTGGACTCGTCGCAATTTGGCAGGGTTCGAGCGACTTCAGCGAGGCCTGACGAGACGTGGCATCTAGCTGCTGACAAGTAGTGCGCTTGCCTGTCGTGGTCGTGCGGGTTCAGGTGGGCCAGATGAAAGCCAGCCAGGCCCATGGCGAGGTGAAGCACAAAATGGTGGGCCAGGCCGACCTTCAGGGCGTTGCGCGCCCATGCCTCACCCCAGGGATCAGTGGGGGTGTCCCCAAGGCTGGTGGCCGTGTGCAAGGTGAAGTGGAGCAGGAGCTCGGCGTCCGTGACGTTGAGCTGGCAAGACGATGGCGCTGCTGCTGCTTCGGCCACGGAGCTGTCAGGCGTGGACACGTGAGTGATGGGGCTGACGCTTTGCTCCAAGGCGGACAATGACACCCCCGACGAAGCCGCGCCACCCCAGTCTTTGCGTGGTCGTCCCCGTCCGCGCCGGTGAACGATAGACGTCTGGGTCTGGGACTGGGAGGGATGAGTATCGCCGCCGCCGGCAGGCGATGCCAAGGTCGTCGGCGGCCCAGGGGCTGCGCATGCTGCAGGTGTCAAGTCACACGGGATGCAGAATCGTATGCAGTTGGCACACTGGGGTTTCTGCTCGTCACACTACGCGTGCTGCGTCAGGCGGGCGGCATCTGGGCATGGGAGGCTCGGGACTTGCAACCTTGACTTTGCGTCTTTTGCAATTAACACAACCATTCCTGGTTCTGCGATGTGGTCGTTTCACGGAAGGCTGTTCGTCTTGGCTAGTCTGGCCGTTGCGTGGCATCGTTTGGGTGGCAGCCGGTTGTTGAGTGTATGGAGCATGGTCTCAGCACACCAGCAAGTGTGGCATGGTCCTCATAGATGGAATATGCGCCTGATGAGATGTGCCAAGCTCTCACTCGAGCGAATTTGTGATGGCTCGAATTGACCAGCGGGGAGGATGTAGAGAGCAGCTGTCGCCTTGGGAAGCGGCATTGTTGAGGCGGCGGTGGTCACGAGTGAGTGTAGCCTGCTCCACCCTCTTTCTCGTCGTTTCGTTGGTCAGCTCGAGCATCTGTGGCGGTCAAGTCACCCAAGCCACAAGGGGCTGGTGCTGTCAGAAACATAGTCGCTGTGGTTCCATGACTTTGTTTGCGGCGTCTGCATCAATCACACAGAATGTCAAGTTCGTGTCAATCACGTTCGTAGAGTGCTCACTTGAAGTATGATACCTACGTCGCTAGGCTGATAAGCTAGTTCCAGGCTGAACGAGATCGTCCTATGCAGGGGAGCAAATCACGCTGCGAACGGTGGGATCTCGGGGAACGCAGAACCATCCGTAGTAGGTAGCATCCGCAATATGGTGGTCCATGCAATGAGAAAACCAACCCATATTGCTCCTGCCTGCAATACGCGCCTGGGTGCCTCGATTCGCGCAACTAGGCTGCCGGCAGTCGTGCTTACTAGCTCACTTCCGCGTCGTATCGCAATAAGGTTCACAGTTGGCTTACTTCTCCGTGTTCCATGGAAGGTCTTCTTCGTGGAGATCTGAACCGTCTTGGGACACGCCCTGTCATTCTCCACGTGATCTTTTCCGCACCTTCGCCATGCTGGTAGGAGGCTGGGCAGACGTTTATGCGGAGCTGCTTTTCCGAGCCCCCAATCTCCCCATCAATCATCGTGAAACCCATGCCAAATGACAGTTTTCCGTGGCCCCATCTCATGCATTCGAGTTTTTCTCGTCTCGATTTAGCCTGAGTCGCAGAGCACATGCAGCAGATTGGGTTATGTCGCCGGGCTCTGGTCCAGTCCCAAGGCGATATCTCACCCACCCGCCCCGTCCTGGCTCCATCGCACATACAGTACAAGAACAGTACAACGTCGTCGTGCTCACCAGGCCCCAGGGACCCCCGGATCGAGACGAGTAGGCCGCAAATCGGAAATACCTAGGTGGTTCCCATCTGCACATGTATAACCCGAGCCGCGCTTCTCAGGTGCCCGGCGGAGAGAGGCCCCTCCTCCACGGACGACAGGACGTCGACACAGGCCGAGTTCATTGGTGGGTAGCATTTTCGAGGATCGTCGTGAGCCTCTTCTTGGCGCAATCTTTGCAGGTCAGTCGATTGGACATTGCCAAGAGGCGCAGTGACTGTCGCGCAGGGCCGAAAAAGGCGCGGTTGATTGAAATGGCCGACTGCGGGAAGGGAGGGGTCTGCCAACGGCACATTGTCGACAGCTATGGAGGAATTCATGCCGAGCTCGTCGAGGACGAGGATAGGTAGTGGAAGAACTTTGGGGGCGAGGCTTGGCTTGGCTGGCTGGCTGGCTGGCTGGATGCCCGCAAAACCAGTCAATTCGTGAAAACGACGCGCGATGGTGAGGCCCGCGAAATGACACCTGAGAATGGACAAATGCATGACGGGCTCATCTGGCAAGCATATCCATCCTTCCTCCACACCCCAAAGCTCATGTACAATGGTCCATGCCCACGACGGCTGGCACATTGGCGACGCCTCGTTTGGGGGAAAGCTGTCACCAATGGTATGGAACCTGTAACCTGCAACCTGATGCCGACGAGACGAGTGGACGGAATGGCAACGTGGTGGCTGGACGAACACCGATCTGGGTGGCCTCCCCAACTCCTTTGCCTGTGTGCATACAGTCGACAGGGAGTTTTTCCGTCGAACGGGGACATGCTCAGGAGCAAGCCACCACGCCGTATCGGGAAGACAGGCGTGGCGAGAGAGTTGGTTTCGCAACTTCGCCTGGTCGTGGGCTCTTCTGTCATCACGTTTGTCACGCGCCGCCTGACAGGGCGCGTCAGGGGGGGAGGCCGGGGGAGCGGGGACGGCGACTTTGTACCTACACTTACTTGTGCCACGCACAGATCAGTGGGTTCATCTGTTGGTCACTTGTTAGATGAGTGGTGGTTCATGATGCGTCGCAGGTGGGTGTGACAGTGGGTATCGTCCAGCCAGTGCCAGCAAAAGTCAATCTTAGCTTTCACCACGTTTATCCCTGCGCTTTTCGACGGGCGCGATCCTCCCGTAGTGGCCCCTCTCCAGCTGTTCATCTTTATTCCCCTCCTCCCTCCTCCTCCTCCTCACTCTCCTCCATTCCTCCACTTCTCCGCATATCCACTGAGCCGAGGCTTGCGCAGACGTGTGGGCGGGCGAGCTTTCACTCAAGCTAAAGTGCTAAACGATCGCCTTCTTGTGTCTCGTAGCCATGTCAAACGCCGTGGCAGCAGTACAGATTCATAACGCAAACCGTCTCTTGGCATTCTTCGTGATGCAGTGTGCCCCCATATGCCTAGTCATTCTTCTGATGCTCGTGTTCCTTGTCAGCCTGCAACTACTCATGTTGCCAGCACGATCCCCACTCCCACCTTCTGGCAAAATCAACGTGGTCGGTGTGTGAGGGACCCTCCATTGATGCACTGCATGGCCAACCACGACGCCCAGGCTGTGCAGGGGTGGGTGGTTTCAATCTCGGTGGGCTTTACCAGATGCAGTAGTCGGCGTACCACGGATGGCAAATCTCAAGCCTCCCACGCTCGCCCTGCACCGCGAGAGCAGAGGCACAGCGTAGGCGGACCAAGTGGGCCACTTGGGGAGGGCCAAG